ATGGGAGGTCTGACTGTGGCAGTCCTCAGGTAAGTGGGTAAGGGGTGCGTGAGGCAGGTCCACCCGCTCCCCACTTATCTTGATGTTTATGCCTTACATCATCTTTTCCTGCTGTGTGTGTGTCATCTTGTGGCAATTAAAATTACTCCAGGTTCTGAATTTCTTTCCACACTCCACACACTGATAGGGCTCCTCCCATGTGGACTTTTTTATGGCGTGTAAGATTCCTGCCATCTTTGAAATCCTTTCCACACTCAGTGCATTTAAATGGCTTCTCTCCTGTGTGGATCCTATTGTGGGAGGTAAGCTGGCCACTCTCCCTATAACATTTTCCACACTCCAGGCATTTATAGGGTTTCTCCCCTGTGTGAAGACTTCTATGGACACTGAGGGAATTATAACCTCTAAAACTTTTTCCGCACTCATGACATGTATACGGTTTCTCCCCAGTGTGGATTCTCTTGTGCTTACCAAGGCAACCACTTCTTCTGAAACTCATGCCACACTCCGTGCACTGATAGGGTTTCTCCCCTGTGTGAATCCTTGTGTGGATCCTCAGTGCTCCAGAATCACTGAAGCATTTTCCACACTCGGGGCACTGATAGGGTTTCTCCCCAGTGTGGGTCCTGCTATGCACAATATACTTCTTTTTTTCACCGAAGCTCTTTCCACATGTGCGGCATTCGTATGGTTTCTCCCCAGTGTGGAGCCTTTTGTGGCAAGTGAGGGAACCTGAACTGGTGAAGCGTTTGCCACACTCGATGCACTTATAGGGCTTTTCACCCGTGTGAGTCCTTTTATGGAGAGTAAGATTACTTGTTTGATTGAAGCGCTTCCCACACTCGGTGCATTGATACGGTTTCTCTCCAGTGTGGATTCTTCTGTGGGAAGTTAGGTGGCCGGATTTACGGAAGCTCTTTCCACACTCCAGGCATTTGTATGGTTTCTCCCCTGTGTGGGTCCGGTTGTGGGCAGGGAGGCTACCAGAACTGGCAAAGCGCTTTCCACACTGGAGGCACTGAAATGGCTTCTCCCCTGTGTGGATTCTGTGATGGGCAGTAAGGTGTGCAGAGCATTGGAAGCTCTTTCCACACTCCATGCATTGAAATGGTTTTTCTCCCGTGTGGATCATCTCGTGTGACTTAAGATGAACTTTCTGACTGAAGCTCTTTCCACAGTTCAGGCATTTAAAAGGTTTCTCCCCTTTATGTATCCTATTATGTAAAATTAGTGTATCACGTCTGTTGAAGCTTTTTCCACACTCCAGGCATTCATAGGGTTTCTCCCCTGTGTGGATCCTTTTATGGGAAGTAAGATTACATCGGGCACTGAAGCATTTTCCACACTCTACACATTTATACGGCTTCTCTCCAGTGTGTATCCTGTTATGTAAATTTAATTTGTCTTTATGTGCAAAACTCTTTCCACACACCGTGCAATGATAGGGCTTTTCCCCTGTGTGGACCCTATGATGTATGGTTAAAGTGCCGCTTCTGTTGAAACTTTTTCCACACTCCAGGCATTCATAGGGTTTTTCCCCTGTGTGGATCCTCTTATGGGAAGTAAGAGTACATCGGGCCCTGAAGCATTTTCCACACTCTGTGCATTTATACGGCTTCTCTCCAGTGTGGATCCTCTTATGCAAATTGAAATTGCTTTTTTGTGCGAAGCTCTTTCCACACACCGTGCAATGATATGGCTTTTCCCCTGTATGGATCCTATTATGGTAAGTGAGGTCACTTGCAGAGCAGAAGCTCTTCCCACATTCCAGGCATTTACATGATTTCTTCCCAGTGGGGCTTTTTTCCCGGGAATTCGGTTCCTTGCTCTGAGTAATCCTCGTTCTACCCTTCCGGAGTTCGTGCAACTTCTCCTCTATGTGGAGACTTTGATGGGAAGTAAGGGAGGCGCTGCTTCCGACGGTCTTTCCAGTGGGGATGCCTTGATGCTGCTTCTTCTCTTTGTGGACCCTCTTGTGTGAATTAAGATGGTTTTTCTGTCTGAAGGTCCTTCCACAATCCAGACATATGTGTGGATCCTCGGCTTTGTGAATCTTTTTATGCAATGAAAGGAAGCAGCTTGTACCGAAGGTTTCTGCACACTCTGTATATTTGTATGGGTTCCCTCCTTCATTTATTCTTTCACGTAAAGGAGGAGGAAGGCTCCTTCTGGGGTGTTGCCTGCTTTCATCTTGTTTCTCTCCAGCAGGGCTTTCGCAACAGTCACATGATCCAGATTCATCACAGAATCTTTTCCCACACCTTGAACACATTTGTTTTTCATGGCTATCATCTGTGTCCAATAAGACATTGATATCTGGACAAGGTAAACCAGAGCAATTCTCCAGCTCCCCCGTTAATTGTTTTTGCTTCAAACTTGGCTTTCCATACATCTTTTCTGCAACTTCCTTTTTGTCTTTTGGCAAAGGTGCTGCTGCTTCTTGGCCAGAATCCTCCATCCCCCATCTGTCGCCTGCTGGCAACAATAAAAAAAAGAAAAGTTAACACAACATTTAGTGCAAAAGCTATTAAGTACCATTGCTGTATTTGAACAGTATCAATATTCTTCCAAACTCCCATTTGTTTCAAACATGATGCTATGCTTGCTATTAAGATTATAAAACATTTGACCTTTGGCTCCTAAAAGTTTAAATATCTTAGAAGAATCCCTTACCTAAAGAGGCTTTGCTCCTCTTGTTTTCCAGTGTGACCTCTCGGTACAGAGCTTTTTGCTCAGAATCCACCAGGGCCCACTCCTCCATGGAGAAAAACACAGCTACATCCTCAAATGATACCAAATCCTAACACAGGGAAGGGAAAAAAAACAACAACAAATTCCATGAATATTCCTAACAAGGAATACTTCAGTGAATTACATGCAAGTCGTCTTCTTAATGAAAAACCTCCAGCTTCCAATATGAACACGTACCATATTGAATTTAGTAGCTGGAAGAGTAAAGTTTACAATAGGCCAGGACACAATTATAGTTGATTAGTTAGACTCAGACCAATCATTCAAATAATGCAAATCACCCTGAAGGAATAAGCAGAGCTAAGTTCCAATAACTCTTGAGTGCCTTACAATAAATAAATAAATAAACGTGTCTTGCACAAACTTGCTGCAAAAGATAGCAGTCATTTAACGGTAGGATGCACACACAGGTGATTGCAATGACAGCGTGTGAGGTGCCAATCCAATTAGGTTTAGAGAAGCAAAGTGTAAGGGGACATCACACTAAATATTTGCCACATTTAACCTGTGATCAGGTTAAATGCAGAGTTATGAATCTGGTGGTCTTAACATATTTATATCCTGGTTGTACAGTTTTTAATTGTTATTTGTTTTAATTTGTTTTATATTGTTATTTGTATATGTCTTTTGGTGTTGTTCAGTTGTATGTTGTGAAAGAGCACCTTATTTCGTTGTTCTCAGGTTTCTGAGTACAATGACAATAAATTTATCTTATCTTATTACAGGGTGGCTGCTGGGGGCTCGGGAGAGGCCCTAGCTAAGATTCTGTGCAGTTTGGAGAACGCCCAAATTCCACTCCTGGCTGGCTCTGCCCACCCTGCCCCTCCCAGGAGTCCCCACGTGGCCCGTTTTGGATGTAACTAAGTGCAGGGAGCGTGCGGAGGCTAAGGGAGGGCGGAAAACAGGGCTCCCGGAAGTTTGGGAAGGCCGGAAGTGGTCCCATTCTTGGCTTCCAGACAGCCTCCAGAGCCCGGGGAGGGCAAAAATGCCTTCCCCGCAACAACCATGGTTCAGGAAGGCGACTAGGCCACACCCACCATGGCCCCGCCCACCCAGCAACCTGGCAGAGAACCCCTTGCTAAAATTTTTGAAGCTCACCCCCGTCACTTTACGCTCAGAAAGCGGTTTCTTTCAACTTTTTCCTATTTTTGAATACTGCATGCAACTTTCCTGTATTTTATGGTTGCATTCCGATCAGATCAAACTCAGATAGAACTAGATATGGTTGTCAGGAGAAAAAAAACGGAATCATGAGCCTAGCTGAACTTAATAAAAATTGAACAGACAGCAGCCCACAAAAGCCTCCCTTTAGGATTCAGAGGTTTATTAGAATTTAAAGCATAGCCAGCATAAAGCACTTACCAAAAGCACTTTGTTTTTTTTAATAAGTTTTTTATTTTTGTTTTTTACACATCTCTTCATGTGAGTAACGTGATTCCAGATTACAATATTTATACATAATTATGCTTACATTTTCAATTTTAATATCACATCAAATTATTATCCACTCTATTCTTCAAATAAATTTCCATTTCATATTTTAATTCATTAATTCAATATCACAATCATTTCCTCACATTTATTTTCAATTCTTTATCCCCTATTATTTCCATTTTCAGCTTACCATCTATTTCATTTTACCTTATACATTATTGTCTTCGTTAATTAACTCAAGACCAATATATAATAAACACTAAAAAAAAGAGTAAAATTAGAGTAAAATTAATGTATTTAGGAACCACATGGCATATTCCTCAACCTACAATATACTGTATCTTGTATTTATTCCAACACTATTCATATAACCATTTCATATTTTTCTTTATTTTCACATAACCAAATTTTACCCCTGTAATTTAAATAAAATTTCATTCCCCTACTTTTAATTATAACATAATTCATCTTCACTCTTCTCCTATATAGTTATATAATACTCGTAGGGTAATTCCCAATAAATTTTGAATTTCAAATCTCCCCATTTTAAATTTCTAATATAAAATACCCAAATACATTCCCATGAGGCCTCCCCCTTTTATATCTTATCTAACCCTTATCTCTAAATTTCTCGGCCTTGTCATTTCTCTTGGTTTCAACTAACTTTCCCTTTTCTAAGTTTTCCCGATCTTTCCTTTTTATTTCC